ACAAAATGCAGCAATGAAAGGTCATTCTGACTTTTTTTGATAAGCTATAACAATGATTAAACTATAACCCAGAGTTTTCCTAACACATATTTAGTTAAAAACTAAAAGAAAAAAAAATCTCCCTGAAATATGCTCTAGAACAGGGGCAGTCAAACTTTTTGGCCTGAGGGCCACATCGGGTTTCGGAAATTGTATGGAGGGCCGGTTAGGGGAGGGGGTCGTGGCCTGGCCCCCGCCTCCTATCTGCCCCCCCCCCCCCCCCCCTTCCTCCCCCCCCGCCCTGACCTCTATCCACACCCCCGCCCCCTGACCACCACTCCGAACTCTCATGCCCTCTATCCAACCCCCCCGCTCTCTGCCCGCGCTGCCCATAGTTTGCCCACCCCTGCTCTAGAAATATATAAACATGTACTCTCATATACAAATGCCAACCTGGTAAGACAAAAAAGTATAGATATATTTTTTTCTTTTCTCCATACTACACTGATAAAAGAACAATTACACTTCAAACAAACTATATTAATAACTAAAAAGTTATTACCAAGGTTTTTGTACTACATTGGTCACAAGTCTCTGAATCCCTTATATTACTATGGAAATACTTATACCATGGATGTGTTCTCTATCATTCAGCTATCACTAACTCACACCAATAAAAAGTGATGTATGTCAACCATAGCTATATGTAGTCTATTCTCTGTGTGTTTTGATAGACATGATCAGATACATTTTGCGTTTTTTTTAAAGCCTCAAAGGTTTCATAAAACTTGGGGGGGTTCATAAAACAGATTAATACACACATGCTAGGCAGGGGTACATCAAAGTATTTCAGATTAAAGGGATTTCATAAAATCAAAGTATCTAAATTTTCCATGATAATTGCTTAGAAAGGCAAAGGTTATGAAGTGTAGTGCTGGCATGCTATTTACACAGTTTTGCTGAAATACTGCACAGTATTGCATTATAAAAAAATGCAGCAACCATGTGAAGGTTTCTCAGTGGAAACTCCACCGTTACTGTGATACTGCCATCTGTATGGTACATCACTTGTTTTGCCACTGTCCGGTGTACTAATTCAAGACAATGTTTTCAATGCTGCAAGCCCACAGACACTTGCAATAGCTAGCCTTGCCTTCAAGATCCTGATAACTCTGCCCATTCCTGCTTATCAGCCTGAATCTCATTTCAGGTCACCCTGATCCTCCAGCATCCACTCTGCTCTGCCAGTAAAGCCAGCCTCAGCATGCCACTTATCTGTCTCTCAAGACCTGGTCCCCCACATCACTGCCCTCTCCTCATTCAAATCCCTGCTACAGACCAACTTCTACTATGACACATGTACAAGTAACTATAATGGTAACTATAATAACTGATCAAGGCAGCGACCATGACTTCTTCTGTGTGTGTACAGCACCTAACACAGTGAAGGTGCTACTGGAAAGAAGTTGTACACAATTTAAAGAAAATAGCCTTCCTCAATCACAGCTGATGCAGATAAAGAGTCAAACTCTGCCATTTGATGTGTGTACTGAAATCAAACCAAACATCCAACTCTATCTGTTGGAAATGCTCTTTCAAAAATTAAAGTTCTTCCGAACCTCTGATGTGAAGATTTGCAAAAGTGCTGTAGAAAGAATCACCCAAGAGGTCAAAGCATCTATAGAGCTGCCCTCTAAAGACTGGAAGCCCTCTACAAATGAATGGACGCTATGCACCAAAGTTTGCAGACTGAATATCATGGGTGTTGTTGGGAACAGCATCTAAATTAGCAATAACAGTGAACGTACTACAGTAAAACCTGCCAAGAGTGATCACTCACTGGAGTTAGCAAAAGTGGTCGCTTGTAAAATGAGGTCTCTCTTCAAAGGCTTGCATGGCAGAGAGTGGTGGTTCTGGGGCCTCTGCAAGCAGTCGCTTGTGACAGGTGATCTTTCTTCAGAGGTGGTCTCTAAGGCAGGTTTTACTGCGTATAAATCAATCCATAACTGGCTACATTTAAATAAGAGAAAACTTTGCCATTGATTTAATTATAAAGTCGTTTGCCAGACAAAAGGGCAGCTAGACACTGGGAGTCAGCGGCAGGAGGTTAGAAGAATGGAGGAGGTTAACCTTGGCATGTTGTGACGGTGAATGTGTTGTATATGGGATTCAGACAGTATAAACAAAATGCAATTTAGCGAAAAGGCTGCGCACAGCTAAAAGTCCCAGCAGCTCTAGTAAATGCAGTTAAATTAAGAAAGTAAATACTAAGGCAACTAAAGAGCACTTTGCCAAGTATTTGTGTTAAATGTATGAGATAAGTATTGGGGGGCAGGTCACACTGTTAAAATGTGTACTTGGCACTTCACAAAGTAACTCCATAAAAGTGCCACTGGTCTGGAAAGTTAGTTGAGGCTTGACAGGTATTCTAAACAGGAATCAGATTACATCTGACATTCCCACTCAGGCTGCTACAAGATTAAATGTTTAGTTTAAATTAAGTTTAAAAATTCACTCTTCAGCGATGTTTACTTTCCTTAGCCAATCCCCAGAGCTGGTACCAGCCGTGCAGACAGTGTGGCTGTATCTACAGGGAGGCAGGGAGCATTTGAGTAACTATTTTTGGTCAAGTGTAGTGCAATTTTAGAACTTTTACAGTCTTCACAGGGAAGATGGCCTCTTTTCTGTATGTGTGAGAGAGACCTGTTCTCCGAAAGTCAGGCTGTCTGCACTTCCCATCACCAAGCACTCATTCCGTTATCAGCAACATTTCAGAGCTCTTGAGATTAATGACTGTTGCCATGTAAACTGTGCATTATAATGGGAAGAAGGAAATACCAGCAGGACAGTGCACAAAGTAGAAACGAGGGAGAGTTCCTGATGCTACGGGTTCCACATGGTAGCAGTGATTTTAAATGCAGACAGTTTCAGTATGGGCAACACACTGAGAGCAATCATTGCCTTCATCCCTTCTGATGACTGCCAGAAATACCTCCTGGGAGACCTTGAAGAGATGCCAATTGATAGAATGGTGGATCTGAGCAGCAGGCAGCTGAGGAGATTTCCCTTGCATGTTTGTTCTTTCAGGGAGCTCGTCAAGCTGTACCTGAGTGACAATAACCTGCACCAGCTGCCCCCAGAGCTAGAACAGCTGCAGAACCTCCAGATCTTGGCGTTAGATTTCAACAACTTCAAAGCGCTGCCCCTGGTGGTGTGCACCCTGAAGCAGCTGTGCATCCTCTACCTGGGCAACAACAAGCTCTGCGACCTGCCCCAGGAGCTCAGTCTCCTGCAGAATCTCAAAACCTTGTGGGTTGAGTCCAACTGCCTGAGCCACCTGCCCGAGGTGGTGTGTGAGCTGAGCCTCCTCAAGACCCTGCACGCCGGCTCCAATGCGCTGCACACGCTGCCCGCCGGGCTGCGGTGCCTGCAGGAGCTGCGCACCATCTGGCTCTCCGGCAACCTGCTGGCTGACTTCCCGCCGGTGCTGCTGCACATGCCATTCCTGGAGGTGATTGACGTGGATCGCAACGCCATCAGGTCATTCCCCAGCCTGGCTCACCTCCCCGGCCTCAAGCTGGTGATCTACGACCACAACCCCTGCAGGAATGCGCCCAAGGTGGCCAAGGGGGTGCGCAGAGTGGGGAGGTGGGCAGAGGAGACCCCCGAGCCCAGGAAGCGCTCCGAGCTGGGCAGGGAGGAGGAGACCGACAGCAAGGAACCGCCACTTCCCCCTGACAAGCAGCCCCAGCCCTGCTAAGGATCAGCCAGGAGGCTCTTGCTGGTGCTGCTGTGGGCAGCTGGCAAATTGTCACCTGCGCCCTTCTCCTCTGGCTGCGTGGGATTTGCGCACCTCCAGCTGGTTACAGCAAAAATGCCTTTTAAATAGAGCGTTTCTTCACCTCCTGGTACCTCAGCTGTTAAATGCACACGATAGTGCCTAGACTGTTCTTCACAACAGTATTTTAGAGGCCTGTATGATCTGTTAGTAGGTGTAGCTATTTAAATAGATGTGCCAGCAAATTTCTCCCTCTTGTCCCAAAAGCCTCCTTAGGGCTAAAACCCAGCACTTCCTTTGTAGTATGAGCAGGTGAAAAACACTGTATAAAGCCGACCCTTTGACGTGACGGAACGGATTTTCATCTAGCAAAATCCCTTTTATTCCAAATGCCGCCTAAGGAAGCATGACTGAGTGAGTTTTTCCATCCATTGATCACGCTGGAGCACTCGTAAGTGAGCACTAGCTGCCGTACCCGTGACGTAGCCTGTATCAAAAGACGTGTTTCTCATGCAAATGATGAAAGGGATCTCAGCAGCTTGTCAAGACCCCCTCTTCTGCCTGGAAAGCGGGTGTAGCAAAAATCATTTGACTGTCCCCAACTAACACCTAAAGTGACTAGACTAAGCCCGAGAGAGAATGAGGTTTTTATGTTTTATGTGCCTTTGCCAGCACTTTATGCAGAGTCATTTCTCCATGCAGTGGGGTGGGTTTTCACACCTGCAAAAGGAGTTGTTTTGTTTTGTCTTTTTAAAGGAAGATCTGATTGTAAAACTACAAAAATTGGCAGGGCCACTTACAGGTGTAATATTTAAATATGGCCCCAAACCTGCAAACACGCCTATGCTTAACTAGAGCTAGCCCCAGCCTTCCATGGGACAACTCCCCTGCTAATGTTTGCACAACTGAGGCCTGTACTTTTGCCACCACACTTGGAAATTTACTAAATTGCCCCTTTAATTTAAAAGGCATGTTTTGCACTAATGTGCCCTGGGTAACGATAACTGACTCAAAATGGGTTGAATTTATGTCTACTAAGTTATACTTGCAGAGACTGTTCTTTTGATTTATAGTTTTTTTTATACTCCGCACCAAACTTGACATGTTAATGGGGTTTCACTGGACCCGAACAGCTACCTGTTTCTGTCATCTTAACAGCACAATACACACAAATGACAGTTAATTTTCCATAAAAGGTTTGATTTAGTGACTGTTTAATGTCATTTACATTCTTAAAAGAATATTTGGAAAGTAGAAAATTAGTTAGTACTTGCTGTCTAATTAAAGTTAAATCTGGATTTGGATCTGGCTAGTACCCACCTCGTGTGCTTCCTATTTATTACACTAAATGAATTGGAGTTGTACTCAAGTGCCTATAGCAGAGGGAAACTGTATTGCTCTGGAATTAACTGGATTACTTTTCTCAAAGCCTTTGCCAAATCTTGTTCTGCCAAACTAACAATCATTTCTTTAGTGAAATAAAGGGAATAACATTTGGATTTTATATATGAAGACGCATGCCTGCTTCTTGTTTCCATTAGAATTAATGTGACTCTTTTCTGTTTGGTCTAATTGGGGCATCTTTCCTTTGCTACACATATGAAATCTTATTACTGGGCAAGAAACAGCAACTTTTTTGTTTTGTATATCCATGTAACATTAAAATAAGCCCAGGCTGTACTGATTGTCTACTATAGCATTCTATAACAGCCCTTTCACTGGTTGCCCTAGGAAGAGCTGCTGCAATATTTTATTCAGCTTTGGGCATCGACATAGTTCTGACATAGTTTAGATCAGTGGTGTCAAACCTGTGGCCCTTGAGGGTGACTGAAAATTATTCGTGATTTGAAAGTATGTTCCCTAAGCCATACCCCATAATTAAAATAAATAAATAAAAATGGAAAGATTTAAAGCAGCCCTATCATAAGGCTACATTTCTGCCTCCTCTTACCACTCCCCTTGCAATTTTTGAACAATACAAGATTGCGACTGTACCTCACCGTCCTGGTTTGATGTTTGGTGCTGCAATTGATAGAGTTGGACAGTCACATTCACAAGAGCTATTTATGGCGTTAGACCCTTTACTATGTTTATGACCCCCCTCCTAAATGACCACAATCACTGCATGTACAAATAGCTGCAGTGGGGAGTTGGTGACATTGATTGTTACTGCGAACACTCACCCGTCACTGCTGGTGAAAGTCATGTCTGTATTTGGACTGATTTAACCTTTTGAAATGCTGTATTGTAAATAGATTGGCGGGTTTAATACAGACATCAGCAAATAGGACTTCAGATAGTTATGTAAAGTTATTAGAGCCACAACCCAATAGTCAGTCACTTATTTTACTATCATCTTTTGATATGCTGATAAATTCACACAAAGTCAACACCTTAGAAGACTGGACTCAAGCCAAGCTTTGCAGCTTCAATAATTACATAAGGGAGTTCTATACTAAATGGCGAGCCATTTTTTCCCTATAATAGTCCTTACAAGTAAGAAAGTGCAAAGCTGGTTGTAGGCAGTAACAATGGCAACTCTACAAAGTTAATATTCAGTATACATATTTAAAAAAAATGCACACACAGCCTTGCACTTGAGCATTTAGTTTCTCTTTATTTTTCTCAGAGTAGAATAAACCAAATCGATGCAGATTTCTAAACAGTGGGAAATCTATATCGTTTGTATTTATTTATATTATAGTAGCAGCTAGAAGCCCCAACCTGGGCAGGCTGAAATCGTATAGGCTATAACAGAGGTGGGTCTGAGAGATTTGAAGAGAGTAGTAGCCTCTTGGCTCAATTCAGTTTCATATGGAAGAGAGTAGAAGGCAGCATCCTGCTCTGACAGATATAAAAAAGAAAGCAGCCCTAATTTGAATAAAATAGAGATTCCATCGTTGTTAGTTTCCAGATATATCTGAGAGAGACAAGTTTGAGGATGTGACGCTCCATCTTAAGCTAGCTGGCTGGGATGCTACTCTTAGTTTTGGTAGCCTGAAGCTCGGCAGTGAAAATGAGGACCACCTTTCGGTACCAATCTTACATTTTTATCTCATGGCTACACGCTTAAAACAGAGGTGAGAATTGAGCAGACATTACAGATAAAGCGAGTCAACTATTACAGAAATATATGAGTTTTTACGGTTTCAGTGGTAGCCGTGTTAGTCTGTATCAGCAAAAAAAACGAGGAGTCCTTGTGGCACCTTAGAGAGTAACAAATTTATTTGGGCATAAGCTAATGTCACAAGCATTATTTTTCTTTCTAGCTGTAATGGATAATGCACTACCAGATCTTAACCCTGTGTCACTACTCCAAGACTGAGTATTCTCCCTGTAACTGTGCAGGAAAATATCACCTATGGGGGAATAAATATTTATTTAGTAAGCTGTTAGAAGATCTGCAGTGTTTGAAACATCAGACAGCTGGCAGTGGAGCTGGAGTAAGGGGCAGAGCACAAATGCAACAGTCAAAAGTGCATGATAAATGCAATTACCACATGAATGTCATTACATAGAGTATACTTACAATATTTGAAAACAATGTATCTGTAACAGATAGAATTGTTTAAATAGTAAGTAACATAGTTCAGTCTAAGATTTTTCCTATTGATCTATCACATCTTTCCAGAGGATGTTGTGTTAGAACTCCAGAGCAATATATACATATGTAAATTTCAGCTAAACACTGCTCTATCTTAAACACCTGTCCCTGAAATGGATGAGACAACACACAAGTCTCTGGGCAAGATTATTTTGAAATGGTTCCAAGGTGTCCTTTTCTAGATAACATCAACATTTCTGTCTTGTAGTTGGCAAGAATAACTTTTTCAGGCCAAATGTAACCATGTGATGAAGAGCACCACCTCAGAGTTTTGATCATGAATAACCTTCATAAGAACAAGGAAAATCACAAAACTAGGAACTAGCAACTGAAATGAAAACTAGGAACTAGCAACTGAAACGGAAAAAATAAAACCACTTATAGGAAAGTGTTCAACAAGAATGGCAATGGGAGGGAGGGTCTCTGACATTGCTTCTAGGAAGGTGAAGAGGGCCCAGGGGATGTACCAAGATATCCCTGACAGGAGGCCTAAAAATAACAAATAGTTCCACTTATATGTGATGCTAATTCCTCTTGTTCCCAGATTACAACAGCTTCTGAGCAAATCATTCCCCCCCTCCTCCCCGGGCCAACAGGAAGGCTCCCTTCAGCACTTAGGCAGCAGCAGCTCCTTTTTAAAGGTCACTGTTCTAGTTACTGTAATCTAGTGCCTGAGTTCAGAACTACTAACCAAGTTATCAACCAATAAGGCCCCTGTATTGCACAATTTCCTTTGGCCCCTTCCCTTGCTGTACAAAACACACTTTCAATTTTCCATTTGTCTAGGAGACACGTTTGTGAAGAAAACCTTGAAGACACAACTGAGAGCAACTGCTACAATATTGCCCTTCCTGCATCTAGAACCTGGCCCACAGTCTTGAGACTGGATCAATGGTGCCAATTCAGGGAGACTGTAGTGCTACTAAAAGTGCCCATAAATAATTGAGTCTACTTCCTGTCCTAACAAATCATTCTCTTAAATAAAGTATTTAGTTCTGCCTATGACAAAGACAAAAGAAAAAATGGGTACTTACCTGTACAGAAACTGTTGTTCTTCAAGATGTGTTGTGCACAAATACCTTCCACTGTAGGTAAGTGTATGTGTGCCCAATGCATTCAAGTTGGAGACTTTTGCCAGCAGTACAACTAGGTGGTGCACGTGCCCCTGCTCTCCTCATGCTGTCAGGTGAGGGCATAAAAAGGGCCACTGCCTCCTTCTCTATTCCTTCGCACCACTATACGTAATGTCTGAAGTACCGGGAAGGTGGGAGAGTCATGGAACATATCTGCACCGCATATCTTGAAGAAGAGTTACTGTTCAGGTAACCATTTTCTCTCCTTCAGGTGATTGTCCATTCCACTGTAAGTGACTCATCAGCAGTTCCCTTACAGGTGGAGGGACTTTGGATAATCTGAACACAGACTTACACCAATTTGCCAAAATTGGTGTGTCACGAGCAGGGATCCTAGTTTCCCCCATAAAAAGCCACG